AAAAAGTCCTGAGTAAATGAGACTGAATGGGAAGAGTTGGAAAGTTTCTGAAAAGGAGCTAAAGCAACTTTTCTTTGGCTTCTCTGAATATTAGTTTTCTACTTATTCCATAACACATTACCACAATGTAGTGGCTTATAATATACATAGTTACTATCTTACAGTTCTTAAATTCAGAAGTCCCAGAAGACTGGTCTAAAATCAAGGTGTCAGCAAGTCTGCCTCCCTTTCTGAAGACTCTAGGGAAAATTCTGTTCCATTGCCTTTCCAGCTTCTAGAGGCTACCCACATTTCTTGGCTCTTGGTCCCCTTCCTTCATCTTCACCAGTTGAGCTGAGTCTTTCTCATGCTGCTATCTCTCTGGTTCTCTGCAGCTGGGAAAATTTCTTGTTTTAAGGACTCATAAGATTAGATGTGTCCTACTTTGGTAATCCAGGATAATCTCCACATCTTGAGATCCTTAGCGTTAATAGCATCTGCGAAGTCTCTTTTGCCATGCAAGCTAACATATTCACACATTTCAAGAATTAAGATGTGCACATCCTGGGAGACCCCTATTCTGTCTACCATAGTGGGTCTTTCTAAAGTTCTTTGGCAGCCAGAGTAACTTCTCCTTCCATCATCTGCTGCAAGCTCAGTCCTTTTAGTGCCCACAGACTCCCAAGAATTCAGAAGGGCAGAGCTTTAAAGAGTACTTTAAAGGTACTTAAAGAGTACCTTTCATTCTCTGTCCCATATCATGCATGTAGAAAAATTAGGTCCCAAAGAGCATTATGTGTAAATTACAACAATTTAAGATCACAATTAAGATACACACACATATACACACATCTGCATGTCCGTGTTTATGAACAGCCATTAGGTCACATTTGTGCTTGCTAACATTACTTGTTTGGTTCATTACCCACGTGAATGTACAATATAAAATTCTTCCTTAACAAAGAAGCAAGTCAGCTAACTCCTTGATGTTTCCAGATGAATTATATTCCTATTGGGTGCAGGTGTTGGTTGAAGTTTTTCTTTTCCTTTCTCCTAAGTATTTTAGCATATGATGATCACTAATAGGAATTATTGCCTCATGGAGTAGGACCATCAATTTCTGCATCAGACTGTGATACAGAATACTAATGTGATACTAATACATGAGTGTATTAGAATAATATTTAAGTCACTCCCTCTTATGGCTACCATCTCAATACTTATTGCTACTGATTCTAATTGAAGCTGTTTGACTTAATGAGTTCTTCTGTTTTTGTGCAGACCTTCGTTCCACTATGTCACTGTTCAACCAAACTATTCATAACCATCAGACCTTTACCCTGATTGGGATTCCAGGAATGCCAGAGAAAGACTTCTGGATGGCTTTGCCCCTCTGCCTTCTTTACAGTACCACATTCCTAGGTAATTTCATTATCCTTGTTGTCATAAAGGTTGAGCGAAGTCTCCATGAACCCATGTATTATTTTCTGGCTATGCTAGCTGCCACTGACCTTAGCCTTTCATTATCTTCCATGCCGACCATGATAAGTGTTCACTTGTTTGACTGGCGCTCAGTAACCCTTGATGTCTGCATCACTCAGATGTTCTTTATCCACAACTTTGGAGGAGTGGAATCAGGTGTTCTGGTCGCCATGGCCTTTGATCGCTTTGTGGCTATTCGCTTCCCTTTGCGCTATGCTACCATTCTCACTCATGGAGTCATCATCAAAATTGGAGCAGCAGTCCTGCTCCGGAGTGTGAGTGTAGTGCTCCCTGTGCCTTTCCTCATCAAAAGGCTACCTTTCTGCCGCTCCAATGTCCTTTCCCACGCATACTGCCTCCATCAGGATGCCATGAGGCTTGCCTGTGCTGACACCCGTGTCAATAGCATCTATGGTCTGCTGGCTGTGATCTTCACCATTGTACTAGATGCCTTGATCCTTTTGATTTCTTACTTTCTAATCCTCCAGGAAGTACTGGGCATTGCTTCCAGAGAAGAGAGACTTAAGGCTCTTAATACCTGCTTCTCTCATATCTGTGCAGTACTGCTCTTCTATGTGCCTCTCATTGGCATGACTCTGATTCACCGCTTTGGGAAGCATTTGTCACCAATAATACACACACTTATGGCCAATATCTACCTGCTGCTCCCTCCTCTGCTCAATCCTGTTGTGTACAGTGTTAGGACCAAGCAGATCCGGCAGCGGATTGTCCGAGCATTCTGTGGGAACAGGATTGGCCATTAATGGCATCTATGAGTTCTGTGCAAATGCAGTCAAGTCAGGGAAGGGTATCCAATGCGGTACTGTCCAATAGAATTTCCTGCAGTGATGGAAATCTCTGTTATTTAATGCATAACCACTAGCCACACATAGCTATTGAGCATTTGAAACTTTGATAGTACAACCAAGGAACTGAATTTGTTACTTTTATTTAATTTTAATTAATTGAAATATAAATGCAAATGGTCACATGTAGCTAGTAGCTACTGTATTGAACAGTACAAATATAGTGAGTTATCATATGCCCTTGCATAATGGTTTTGATGAAAGCAATAATTTATCTTAAGTAACCTGATAAAAATATGCATTTTCCTTTCTTAAAATGGTATATAACAGCTTACCAACATTCTGAAAAGTTTTATTTCTTTAAGTAATCTCTATACCCCATGTGGGGCTTGAACTCACAACCTTGTGATCAAGAGTCACATGCTCTTCTGACTGAGCCAGCCAATCACTACACAGCTTATGAACATTTATGTAAAATAAATGTATAAATAAATAATACTAAATAAATTTACTATCGGTTTTAATAAACTTTTGACAAATGGATAGAATCATGTAACAACCACTGACACCAAAATACAGAAAATTCACATCACTCTCCAAAATTCCCTCATGCCACCTCTTTGTCGTCAACCCCTCTATCCATACCCACTCACTCCTGGCAAGAACTGATTTATTCTCCATGCTTATAATTCTCCTTTCTCCAGGGTATCTTGGACCCTGCAGTATGTAGTCTCCCATGTCTGGCTTCTTAGCATAATGCATTTGAGATTCATTCATGTTGTAGTATGTATTGGTTGTTTCTTCCTTTTTATTGCTGAACACTATTCCATTATATGTCATTAACAATCTTTTAAAGAAAAATTCCCAGATTATTTTTGCTCCATTATAATCACTTTGGTATCCAACACTTAACATAGCACATTTCTGTTTTTTTGCTTTTTGTGTTTGTTTATATGTTCTTTGAGTATTTTTTATAAATATAAGGTGTGTATGTGCAACAGATTGAAGCAAGAGAGAAAAATATTAAAATGAAAGTAACAAATGAGGAGTATGAGAGAATGGTGCCCTCAATGAACTGGAAGAATAAGAAACTGTACATATACTTTAAATTTTAATTTCATTTCCACTTCATTTTTGTCCAGAAAGCTTTTCTGACATGGCTGTAATTATGTTAAGAATTTCTCATACTGTACCATAACTTACTAATAGTATATCTTCCCTGCTATTCTGTACACTTCATAAGAACAGGGACCCTTTTAACTTCATTTAAGTCTATCCCAAGTACTTAATGTAGTTCAGAACATATATGATAGATGCTCAACATGTATTTTTTAAAAATTAACAAGTGAATGAAAACTGAACTTTATCAAGATTGATTCCATGCTTCCAAACCTCTTTGTCCCATTTAGTATTAGTAAGTCTCATTTGAAATTTCTAGAGCCATTCATTTTTGCTGACGGGAACCAGTGGAAAGGGGTGGTGTTTACATATAAATATGAACATTACCTACCAAGTAACTTTATGGAGTTTCTTAATCTCTTACATACTCATTGGGATCAATATCTTTCTTCAGTGTTCCCAATAAAGTTACAAGAATATGGACAGGAAAATGTTTCAAGGAGGATAAAAAGTAAATGATTATTAGATATAGTCAGAAGTATTAATTCACTGCCTACTATGCAGAGGTAGGATGAATAGATTGAGGACTGTGTTTTCAACCATATTTTCTGAAGATATAGTGGAAACAGTTGACTATAGAAGGCAGTATAGTATATAGGTTAATATTTGGAGTAAGACAGACATGGACTTAAATGCCAGCTCTGTAACTTGCTAGCTTTTAGATGGGTAAAGTTATTCAAAACCTCTCTGAGATTCAATTTCTTCATCTGTGAAACAACAGAAAATAATACTAAACCCATAAGCTTGATGATGAATAAATACAATAATGTGTTTAAAGGGTTTAGTACGATTCTTGGCATGTATCATGAGTTCATCAAGTGCTAGTTTCATTATACTAAGAAAGGTAGGTGGGCTGCAGATGTGACTCAGTGAATAGGATGGCTTCTTAGGAGGGGCTCCTGGGTAAGAGGAGGGACATGGGAATTGCCAGGGGGACAATGAGACCTATTAGGAAGAGTACATTTTGGACTAGAGAACAGAAGAAAGAATTTTTGCACTCTCTTAATCGTACTCTGACACTCAGGGAGCCTCCCTGGCTGAGACTCTGTTGCCTAAGGCAGGGTGAGGAGGAATGATTGTAATTATTGGATCCAGGCAGGCAGTTTTAGAAGATATCCATTACTGTCAGCCCCCAGGGCCAGGACTTAACTTACAACCCCTGATGAATGGAGATTGCATGGGCCTGGGAGCAGAGTTTGAAGCTGTCAGGAAGAGGTGTCTGAGCTGTTGTAGAGGAACATATTCTTATGGGTCCCATAATTCTTGCTCCATCCAGTACACTCACTAATAAAGACAGCTCTCTGTTGCCTAATGACTCTACTGATTTTCCTATAAAGCCCCTACTCTTGGGAGCTTGTTTAGTCCTTGCTATGTGGTGGAACCGGAGAGAGGTTGGTGGTGTTTCCTGCTGATGTGAACAGGTAAGAAGAGTGCATAAATGAATAAGGGATGGGAGACAAATGGATTAAAGCATGAGGAATGCTAGGAGACAGAGGGAAGAGAGAAGTGCAATAAATGATAGGAACTACAAGTAAGCTGGAGTGAAGAAATGGAGGGGTGTACTGGAGCCTGGATAAAACTGAGATAGGGAGACAGAGGACAAGAGAAAAGAGGATAAACAGAAAAGGAGATAGGACTCAGAACTCTGCCTGTGGCCAAGACCATTAAGCTTACTAATTGAAGCTTTCTATTGTTCCAGATCCTACTTTACTAGCTAGCATTGGGAGAAGAAAAACAGGAATACCCAAATTTTAAGGAACTCACATTCCAGTTAAAGGAGATGACATCTGCATATATAATTCTAATATCAGCCATGCCTCCTTACTGTATTAAGAATCAAATGAGGAGCACCCAGGTGTCTCAGTCAGTTGGGTGTCCAACTCTTGATTTTGGCTCAGGTCATGATCTACTGTTTGTACTTTTGAGCCCCACATCAGGTTCTGCGCTGACAGTGCAGAGCCTGCTTGGGATTCTGTCTCTCTCCCTCTCTCAGTCCCTCTCAACCCCCTCTCTCTCTCTCAATATAAGTAAACTTAAAAAAAAAATTAAAAAGAATAAAATGAAAGCTCCAAGCATGAAGTGGTGCAGAGATTTAGCAGCAGAGGGGAAATTTCTGGTTAACAAAGCCTGGAGCTGTCAGGGAAGGTTCCACATTGTGGACAGAATAGATTTCAGTGTTGAAAAATGACCAGAAGGTTTGGGATTGGTAAATGACATGGACTGGTTTTACCATTACTGATGCCATGGATACATGGATTGGTTTTTACCATTACTGATGCAAGGATGTTGACCTTTGGGTCACTAAGTTACTGAATTGGGTGGATCTTATCCAAGTCAGTGAATCTAGGCTTTTGTATATGAATTGGTAGACACTGCTTTCTTTCTGGCCATTAGATGGGGAACTGAAAATAGAGAACTCTAGCCTATTCTGGGTAGAGGGCAGTGCAGAGAAAACCTTGATTAATCAAGGCACTGAACTTTAATTCTATAACTAGTTCCAGAGTGTGTGAACTCACTGGATCTAGGGAGGAAGCCTTTACTCCCTGTCCACATATCTACATTCCACAGGAAACAAGTTCTCCAGCAGCAAAATGAGCCATAGTCTCCTCTCCTCCTACCCTCCTTTCCTCACATCATCCGGTGTCATCTTTTTGTCCTTTATTAGATACAATTCAAAGAATAGAAAATAACTGGTATCTGATTTATGGTAATCTTATCTCTCAGTTACTCTTCAATTCAAAAACTCCTCTCTACATACACCAGCACACAGAGATACACACAATATCAGTATATAAATATTTACACATATTCCTAAACATACATGATGTCACAAGTATACTTCTTTAAATAAACCATGAGGACATTGTTCTCTCTTTTACTGATTTCTCATCTCTAACGCTCCTCTAAATTATTTATATGTATATACAACAGAGTATAAACAATTCTTATATTTTAAAAGAAGAAAATCATACTGCCCAACTGTTCAACTTCTCTCATGAGCTTAGCTTCTAGAAATGGTTTATGGTTTAATGAAAACTGATAGACTTTAGAGTTAGTAAATCTGTTTTGAATTTTGAATCAGTACATATTTTACCTTTGATACACTATTTTATCTTGCCAGTTTGATTTCCTTTCTTTAAAATAGGAGAAAAACATCTATATCCATTTTCCTGGGTTTATATAAAATTATATACAAGATGGATAGTAAATGTTGACATATACAAAGGATCATAATTCTCCTTTTCTCTTAACCTAGTCTCCTTCTTCCAGTCAGTGAGAGGATATTTTCCCTGGTGTCTAGGGAAATGATTTCCCTCTGGCTCATCCTTCTCTGTCAAAACTTCCAGGCTCAATTTATATTTCTCTTATCTAGTGTTTATCCATATCTCTATCATCTGTAATTTTTTAATCTACCCATTAATACATCTAATTAAATTAAATTATTTGAATCTTTACCACATACCAATCACCAAGCTTTTCTCTAGGAAAATAAAAAGATGAATACATATGTTTTATATTCCCAGAGAGCCAGCATTCTAGAGGAAGAAATAAATGTGATTAAGAAATAGACTTTTAGTGCTATAAAAACCATATGTAAAGTACTATTGAAGAAGAGTCAATAGATTGAGTGATTTGGTGTTGCAGAGAGTTTCTTGGATGGTTATCATGGAAGAAAGTCACTTTTTTTTTTTAATGTTTAACAGTGGCGTTTTAGGTAAATGATTGAAAGCATTTAACATTAAATTCAATTTACTTCACATTGTTGTTTGCAAATACATTATTAGCAATTCTTAAATATTTCAAATCAACCAACTTAAGTACAGAAGGCCTGCTTGAAAGGAGCCTGGGACTCAAGTCCAGATCCCTAACCTCTCTTGCCATGAGTCACACTATGATACTTCTGACTGGATCAGGAAGGGTCCTGCACCTCTCAACCTTGAAGTTCCCTCATATGAATTCACCAGTGATGACACAGTGATTGTTGGTTAGAGATTCACTTTTAATGTGTGTGTTCATCAGGTTGAGAAGAATAAAACAGAAACATCATAGCCTTTTGCTTTCCTATCTGGCTACTCTCCTCTTGTGTCCCCATGTGGTAATAACTGTTCAATAATATTTTGCCTTGGCTTCTCACACTATTCATTCCTCTGAGTTGAGTGAGTTTTGAATGCAAAAAATATTCTTTATTCATTTCTGTTTCCCTGGCCATCAGTAGTAACTGACATTGAAATAGTCATTTAGAGTCTAAATGGTTGACGTGATACAACAAGTTTGTAATCTATATCTCATTTGGCACTAGTTTTCCTAATTCTTAGTGTTTTTTTTCCAAACATGTATAATATAACAATATTAAATATTATACCAGAAAAAGAAATTCATCTTTTTTTTTTCCTTTGGAGTAACAAGTGATTATTTCTATCAACATCTTCAGTAGACTGGAGGAGGGGGAGAAAATAAGGAACAACCTCTTATATTTATGTTTATGTAGCAACTCACAGGGCCTGATACTAGCAAATTTCTTGCACCCACTCAGATACAAGACAGAAAACCTAGATTACTGAAAAATAACAATACTTATGGCTGGCCAGATCCACACAACACCTGAAATGAGTATATTATTCTTTGTTAGCTCTTTGGGTTTTTTGTTTGTTTGTTTGTTTGTTTGTTTGTTTTTTGGAATTTACCATCTTTCTTTTTTGAGTTCATTCCTTTATTTTGAGAGAAAGAAATGGGTGGGTGAGGATCAGAGAAAGAAGAGAGAAAGAACTCCAAGCAGGCTCCACATGGTCAGTGCAGAGTCCAATGTGGGGCTCGAACTCATGAACTGTGAGCTCCTGACCTGAGTCAAAGTCAAATGCTTAACTGGCTGATCCACCCAGGCACCCCTGTTAGCTCTTTGTTGATGACTAAATAACCTAGGTACAAATTTTAAAATCAGCAATGATGACACCAGCAATGATGATATCAGTGAACACACCCTAAATAGAATTGCAATAGTCATCTTAAATATGACACCATCTCTGTTTTCTATACAGCTGCCATTCTATGCACTTTCTCACTCAGTGAACTACTTTATATTCCAACTTGTGATGTCACTTCAGTTTTCCATGTCTCAGAGTGATTCCTGTTTAGTTATTAATCTCCACTTCCATCCCATCCATGCTTTTTACAAAGGCATTCGTCACATGTTGCTGAGTGCTTCCCATGACTTATTTTTAGTTTATTTATTTTGAGAGAGAGAGAGAGAGAGAGAGAGAGAGAGAGAGAATGGGGGAGGGGCAGAGAAAGGGAGAGAGATAATTCTAAGCAGGCTACAAACTGTGAGCACACAGCTCAATATGGGGCTCCATCTCACAAACGGTGAGATCATGACCTGAGCCAAAATGAAGAGTTAAATGCTTAACCAACTGAGCCACCCAGGTGTCCTTTCTCATGACTTTTATATGGGTGTTTTGTCTAAGCGTACCTGCTATATCTAGATTAGGACACCTGAAATCATGTATTCCAGAATACTGTTTGGAATTTTCACAGGATTCATTAGAGCGGTCTACTCACAATGACTTGGTTCAGAGTCACATGCTAACTATCCATGGGAAGGAGTATAAACAAGTATCCCAAGGTGTAAGATGGAGAAAAGGAGGATAAAACCTACTTATTTCAGTACCCTGGAAAAGTATGCAGAGATACAGAATTAGAACTCCATATATATATGGAGTGGGAAGGGACAAATTATAGAAACCATCCCACTATAGGAAAAGGAATAAAGAAACCCAGATACCAAAAGGAGACTTCTAATAGAGTCTACTAGAAGAGGCTGGCTAGTAGAGGTACAAGGATACCTTTGGATACAATATCCCAGACCAGCTTCCAGCAAGAAAATCATGGAGTATGCCATCACAGGTGCCCAGTGGCTCTTGTGTGCTTGTCTACTATTTCTTGAGCAACTATACTGCTTGGGCACTTAATGCAAAGACCCATCAGTTGTCACTGTGTTGGTGTGTGTGCTTGTGTATGACATAAGCCTATATGCATTTCCCACTTCAAGCCTTAGGACTAGTCTGAGCAGTAGGGTGGGGATGAGCCTAGAGAGACTGATGGTTATAACTGGGAGAAGACAGAGGAAGAAAACTGGGGCCAGTTTCTGACAAGACAAAGTCAATACACTGTAGAGTTATGCAATAGGTGCCATATTTAGATGGAGGATTTTGAATACAGAAAAACAACTGTGTAATTTGGGAACAGTTTATACTAGAGAACTTGAAAAAAGGACCAATAGGACAAACACTACGATTGTTGTTTCTCTTTTCAGGGTGTGTTCTCAACCCAACATGGTGATTTTCAATAACACTACATCATCTTCCTCAAACTTCCTACTCACTGTATTTCCTGGTCTGGAACTTGCACATGTCTGGATCTCTATTCCTGTCTGCTGTCTCTATGCCATTGCCCTCTTGGGAAACAGCATGATTCTGTTCGTCATCATTGTTGAGAGGAGTCTTCACAAGCCCATGTACTATTTCCTCGCCATGCTGTCAACTGTTGATCTATGTCTGACCATCTCAACCCTTCCCACTGTTCTTGGGGTTCTCTGGTTTCATGCCCGGGAGATTAGCTTGAAAGCTTGCCTCATTCAAATGTTCTTTGTACATGGCTTCTCCTTCCTGGAGTCTTCAGTGCTGGTAGCCATGGCCTTTGACTGCCTCATGGCTATCTGTAACCCACTGAAGTATGCTATTGTTTTCACAGACATGATAATCTTGTTGATTGGACTGGTTATCTGCATACGGCAAGTAATTTTAAGCTTTCCCATGATTCTAGCCTTGACGAGAGTATCTTTCCACGGAGGCCAAGAGCTTTCCCACCCATTTTGCTACCATCCAGATATGATTAAATACACATATTCCAACCCCTGGATCAGCAATTTTTTGGGCATGTTTCTTCAGCTCTACCTGACTGGCACTGACTTACTGTTCATTCTTTTCTCCTACGTTCTGATTCTCCGAACCGTCTTGAGTATAATGGTCCCTAAGAAACAACAAAAAGCTCTCAGCACTTGTGTCTGTCACATCTGTGCTGTCACTGTTTTCTACGTGCCAATGATCAGCCTGTCCTTTACACACCGCCTTTTCAGTTCCACCCCAAAAGTGGTCTGTAGCATTTTGGCCAATGTTTATTTGTTCTTACCACCTGTACTGAACCCTGTCATTTACAGCTTGAAGACCAAGACCATCCGCCAGGCTATGCTCCAGCTGCTCCATTTTAAGGGCTCACAGGGCCCCAGTGTGAGGAGTCATAGAGGACCCTGGGGTTGAAGTAGAGAGAAGTTATATTTGAGCAATAAAAGGATCTAGGTCTGTGCCACCAGGCATTTTAGTTACTGAAGCAGTTTCACTTAAATCATAGGAGCAGAAAGAGAATACTTTTCCCCTAAGCTTATCAAAAGTTAAAAAAAAAAACAACAAACTACCATTCAAGACCAAATTAATTGTGTATATGTCCCTCAAACATTTAAAATAATTATATGGAACTCCTGTGCACATTAAAAGCACAATAAGATCATTTTATTCTGGTTGAACAATTTAATTATCTGCCTTAAAACGGTAATTCTTAGACCAAAGATTAATATATATAATTTTATGTCTGTGTTCAGCTGCCAAAAAGTCATTTATTTCTGTGGTAAGATTTCCCAGGGGGCATCAGAGATTTTTTTTTTTTTCCTTGAGGTGGTAAGTGAAAGAGTTACGTGTGTGTGCAAAGACACGCACATTGCAATTTGTAATTTAAAACTTTAGGAAACTCTTACACACTGATTTCAGTTCCTAAAGTCACCTCTAGGGAGACCCATCTCCTTGCAGATGCACTCCCTGAACCTCTATCTTTTCTTGAATTCTTTTTCTCCTCAGCAAACGTGAAATTGTCACTGAACTAATTGCTGTTTGTTATACCTCCAACGAGTCCAATATCTAAAGTTACATATCACTCTTCATTATTTTTCCCATTGCCTAGATATTCTAATACAGTTCTGATTCTCACTCTGTAGCACCTCTTCTGTGTCTGCTGGGCTTCAGGACAGTACTTTTTTTCTATTTGCCCTTGTTTCATGGGTGGTTAAGTTTTTACCTAGCTGTTGGGCTCCTGGACCTTTTGGTGTACGTATAATTGTAGAATTGCACAGTGACTTTGATGCTTAGTAGGAAATATTTAGAATACCTTGCTTAACAATACTTATTTGGTCAAGAAGTAACCTGGGGTGCTTGGGTGGCTCAGTCAGTGAAGCACCAGACTTCAGCTCAGGTCATGAACTCACAGTTGGTGAATTCGAGCCCTGTGTCCAGCTCTGTGCTGACAGCTCAGAGCCTGGAGCCTACTTTGGATTCTGTGTCTCCCTCTCTCTTTGTTCTTCCACTGCTTGCACTCTGTCTCTTCTCTCTCAAAAATAAATAAAGATTAACAATAACAACAACAACAACAAAACAACAACAACAATAATACTAATAGTAATAATAAAAGAGAAGGAAACTCACTATAGAATTGATGGGATGTTGGGGGAATTCTCCTAAGTTTTTTTTGTTTTTGTTTTTGTTTTTTGGTTTTTTTTGTTTTTGTTTTTTTTTTTTTTTACGTACAAAGTTATAAAACTTTGTTCCACTCAGGATAATTCATGTCTGAGCACAGGAGACCAAGCAGAAATTCTGATCTGAGCCACCTGTCTCCTCTCCTTATATCACCTTCCTACTCCTGGCAGACAAGGAATACCGCTTCCAAACTCTTGTGTGTTTGCCTTGGCTTTCTGTTCTGCTCAAACACTGACAATTTTGTGACTGCTTTGCCCAAACCAAGAGACACCAGTCTCTGATCCTGGAATCAACCTGTGGCAGAGTAGACATGCCAGAGCACACCGTACTCTAACTATCCAGACTTTTCCTCATCAGTTCTTACAAATGCCAATGGGGGGCGCCTGGGTGGCGCAGTCGGTTAAGCGTCCGACTTCAGCCAGGTCACGATCTCGCGGTCCGTGAGTTCGAGCCCCGCGTCGGGCTCTGGGCTGATGGCTCAGAGCCTGGAGCCTGTTTCCGATTCTGTGTCTCCCTCTCTCTCTGCCCCTTCCCCGTTCATGCTCTGTGTCTCTCTGTCCCAAAAATAAATAAACGTTGAAAAAAAATTAAAAACAAACAAACAAACAAACAAATGCCAATGGTTCCTTAATTGCTTCCTTACAGACCTTTCTAAAAGTTTTTGTTCTTAGATCCCCAACTCCATTTACAATTCCTGAATTTTATAACATCTGGAAAAACACTTTAAAAAAATTTTCCTAAGTTTGGAGCCAAAACTTATTGGCAGCAAAAGCTAGCATAAACAGGTATGAATGTATTTATGGTCATTATTTATTCTACATTGAGTGAATATCTACACATTTCACCTCAGAAATATAGCTGTGCTTGAATACAGGGTAATGCCTCCAGGGTTGTAGAGATGTTTAGAGTATAAGAAATTCTGAATTTCAAGAGTTTTAGGTAAACAATTGTAGAAATGTGCAAGCATTCTTCCAGTTTTATGATGGCCAATATTTAAGGCAGTCTACTGCATATCTGTTAATCTTTTATTATTCCAAATGTGCTTTTCATATCTGGCTTAAAATGTAACTCACCTGCTCAATACCAAAAACACTTTTATCAGTGTTTTTTATTCCCCATAGCAGTTGTTAATAGGACATGAATGTGTTTTGTTGTTACTTCAAAGAATGTGTTTAATAATTTGGGGATTGTTCTAATTATATCTTGTATGTATGTAAGTACATGCAATTATACACACATATGTGTACTATATACAATTAAAATTTTGTGATTAAAAAGGTAACAAAAATCACTCACAATCCTACTAATGAGGAATTTTATGATATATAACTATCTTTTTTTAATAAGCCAACATATGTGCACATACACATACATTTATTAACTAGGATGGTAGTGTATACTCAGATGTATATCCTATTTGCTTGATATTATTTATCATTTTCTGTTAATCATATATTACATTTTTATATTAGACTTTATTTTAGACTTTACTTCCCCTAGGAAGCCCTCTCACTTGATTCTCCACTATAATGGTCAAGTTACCAGTCTTTTATTCTTTTATTTGCTTTCTTATATGTGTGCTTAAACTTAACATACTTTACTCCGTGGATTTAATTTTTTATTTACTGTTCTCCCCACCACCAGACTGTAAACCCCTTGATAGCATAAATGTAAGTTTCATTTAATCCTTATCATCTAATGCAGTGCTTAACAAATGCCACTTAGTTGTTGATTCTGTGTTGCATAAGTGAATAATACCTAATATTATTTGTGTATCATGGTTTATGTTTAACATTTCAGTAGTTTACAGTATTTTTATCATAGACAATAATCTTGATATATATTAGAAATAAAGATTTGATCACCCCTCTGATTGTGTTCTTCTATTCCTAGAATGTGAATTATTAAATTTATAAGGAGATAAAATAATAGTTGGTCTGCTGTAGTGCATGAGGTTGTAGGCTCTGGAAATGGGTTTAGATTTAAGCTCCTAACACTTTATAGTTCTGTATTTTTGGAAAACTTGTTTAACTTCTCAAAGCTTTAGCTTCTAAATCCACAAAACAGGAGGAATTAATAAAATCTACCTTCCCATGTTCTTACAAAAGTTAATTGTGTTAATACAAGTAAGTATATAACCCAGTGTTTGGTGCCTGGTGAACACTGAATTATACCATATGTTAACTAACTGGAATTTAAATAAAAACTTGAAAAAACATCTTTGTACTTAATTCCCAGTTTACTTTAGTTTATTTTTGTGTGTAATAAAGGATCACACACAATTATGGTTTTTTAAATAGGTTGTAATTTTTTCTACCACTATTATTTGAATAACCTATTTTCAATAAGGTTCTGATATTCCTTAATTATATATTACTTTCATATCATTTAGAGTATGTTGAAGTGTTTATTCTTTCGTTGTTCTTCCCACTGATTTGTTGAGCAAACTACATGCAATTTTATAGCTGTTTAATAAATGTTGCTATCATATGAAACTTTATTACACTTTCTATTTGTTTTTATCTTATATTTTCCAGTTGACATTTGTAAAACTTTTTTTAGAATTATTTTGTTACACTCTCAGTGAAATGTTCCTGGAAGCTTGATTGGAAATACATTGAGCCTATATTATAATTGAGGAAAACAGATGTTAGCCTATTCACTCTTATGATCCAGATAAACATTATTGGCATGTTATGACTTGAGCAGTTTCTGTTTTGTAAAGATCTGAGTTTCTTAGTTGAGGGCAAATACTAAAAAAATGGAGGATAATATCCTTCTTGTTTCTTTCATGACAACCTGTTTACTTTTTCTTGTGGCTAAACAGGACATGAACTATTTTTCAGGGCAACTTCTTTGACTTAAAATTTATAGTTACATCTTATTCATTTGGCAATAGTGTTTCTATCATTCTAGACGTTCTGTGTGCTTACAATTTATCAGAACAGTATTCTGACTGTTCAAAGGTGTGTGTGTGTGTGTGTGTGTGTGTGTGTGTGTGTGTGTGTTTGTGCATGTGTGCTTCTTTTCTCAAAGTTGAGAAATGTGTCAGACTGCTATCCAGATGTCATTATATATAGCATACAAGTCTGGAGATACGATAATAAATTTAATGTATACAGTTTCTTTAAGGAAACAAAATTGAAGTAAGACAGACAGGTGAATTAATAACATAACTGAAAACAACCTGGGAGGAAGCCCAAAAGTTTGTCCCTCTCTTCCTTGGTTAAACTATGGGCATCCAGAATGGGTCAGCTTTTGAACAATAAGGACTCAGTTAAACTCACCTGGGGACATAAAATATATAAGAATATTTATTCAACAGAGAACATCTTGTTCAAAATGGTTCTTTGGAACAAACAATACTAAATATTTGTGAGTTCAACTGAGATAATGAAACATTGAAATTGATTACCAATCATTTTTTCCCAATCCATAGTACAGACTTTTTAAGAGTTTTGGTTGACTTATTCTAAAATTTATGTTTTATACTTTGTCTACTATGAAGTACTCACAAATAACAGATGAATAGGAAACAGATGAATTTTACAGAACATATACTGAGATACCCAATCTACTTTAGTTGGCTATTTATCTTTTTTTTTTAATGTTTATTCATTTTTGAGAGAGTGTGTGCATGTGCATGAGCGGGGGAGGGGCAAAGAGAGAGGGAGAGAGAATCCCAAGCAGGATTTGTGCTGTCAGCACAGAGCCAAAGACAGGCTCCATCTCATGAACCATGAGATCATGACCTGAGCCAAAATCAAGGGTTGAATGCTTAACCAACTGGGCCACTGAGGTTCCCCTGGGCCACTTATCTTTTCAAAAAATGGAACCATATATGTATGAATATGATTTTATATTGCTTAACATATGATCATATTTCTGCTAGTTTAAAATTATTTCTAACTTGTTTAGTGTAATTGAATATATCATAGGTCAAAATACCAAGTGCCTAAACAAGCATGAGAGCCATTATTTTAAAGTAGTTAAGAATATCAATGTTTGAAAAATTACTGAACTACTAGCTTTCCTATCTCCTACTACTAGCAGCATACTCTCTCATTCTCCTTTTAATAACTATAATTTCTTGGAGCCCTGTTGTAA